TTTCAATCGATGATATTCCCAGCGTTCCAGCTTTCTTTGTATAATGCTCAAATCTGCAATTTAGAGGTTTTTGGTCTGCAGCAGCATTACGAAATTAATGCCAACAAGTTATGTCAACTGGTCAATAAAATCTTTTTTCTTGAGACTTTGAAAATTTAAAACATGTCGAGAAAATTTTCCCGGAAAAGCAGTCGCAGCAGTGTTCCTTCCCCGCTCGCAACTATTTTGAGTTACATATGAAAAAAGCTAAAATAAATACTCAAATGGTTGCAACTCAATGATTTCATCAGTATTTTCTGAATATGGAATTCAGCCCTTTATTCATATTTCGAGACTTGCGTGATGGAACTGACTTTGAAAAAAAAAAGAGCCGAATTCTTTAAACAAGTACAGTCAGTGAACGTTAGTCCATCAGATATCAGTAACGAAAATCGTTTTTAAACACAGCCAGTTGATCCCATCAAAAATATATGAATTGTCTAGGGCTGAGAAGCCATTACAAAGTGCATTAGTTTTGAGGAAAATTAAGTCAAAAACGAACCCATCGGTTTTTTGATTATCTTGTAATAATCAGGATGCTCCTCGGCGTCAACAGGTTCTCGAAATGGCCAGCTGGTGCGATGTTCCTTCAAATTATCAAGCACCTGCCAAAGCAGCGCAAAATCAGCACGACTAAGTATCAACTCGTCCTCTCCTTGTTTGCTCCGAATACACTGTGGACAAACGTACTCGGCTACTTTTTCTGCTTCTCTGCAATTTTATTTTAATTGATTACATTTACTCAGACACAAAAATTTGTGCATCACCGACCTTTCTTTCATCTGGCGAAAATAGTCACAAAATAAGAATTTTCGCTCCCTCAGCGAATAAAAAATCTTGTTAGGCGAGACTGGGCCAAATCACAAAATTGTCCAGTAACAATACACGTTTCCTACACAAAGAAGGATATTTGGGAAAAATGTAAAAATTCTTCCTCTCGGATTCAAATTCCAATTTTTGCACAGAGAATTTAGTGGCTTTGAAGGCAAGTGAAAGGCATGAAGGACGGGTATTCTTGGAGTTTCCAATGCACATCAATTTTCGAAGTGCGATCAAGCGCTTCCGGAAATACAGTTGTTCGTACAAAGTAAGCTGAACAGTCCGAATTTGAACTTTCCGGTTCATTCACCGCAGATATAACGAAAATACGCATTTAGCCGCTTTGTTTTGAAATTCTACTTTTAGCCTTATTTGTACCTTTCCGTCGATCAACGGCAAAAGGTACAAATAAGGCCAAAAGTAGAATTTCAAAGCAAAGCGGCTAAATGCGTATTTCTGTTATATCTCCAGCGGTGAATCAACTGGAAAGTTCAAATTCGAATGCGTATTAGCTCATTCATCAATTAATTACATTTAAAAGCTTAAAACACAACCGCGTAGAATCCTGGACGCATACTAACATTAACACAATCGTTGAAGCATATTGATATTAACTGATTAAAAATTTCAAAGCATACTCCTGCGTTGTTCCAACACATTCCGGATGGAACCACCCGTCGCAACTATCACACCCGACATAGAAACGATTGCAGTCGTATGGAGTCTGACAAACACAGTACAGCTGCTGGAAAAATTTGCATATTTGCAATGATATGTTTGGCCCAAACACTTTCAAGTAGTCTGGAGAATATTCTTCCGAAAATGCTTTACACTATCCTTGCTATTTTTTTTGGCCAAGTTCCACAAATGGAGCTATGGGTTTCGTCCGATCATTCAAACAGACCCTTCAGACTTATACTGTTAGCCTTGGTTTTCGAAAAAAAAAGCCTATTTATACACTGTCCGTATTTCACTTTGATACTCCAAGCATTCAAAATGGGAGCAATGGCGAGTAGTGCTGCTCTTATACTGAAGGTCGAAGGTTCGGCTCGACTAATACTACAAGTCCTTTGACGACTGGCGCATAAAACGGGCACTATTTTGCTTGTCAGCAGCCTCGCGAAAGGGAGCCGTCGCTCAGACAGTGGTTAGCGTCGGACTTGCTTCCGAGTCATTATTTCTCAAACAGAATGAAATGTGGATGGGACTCCGATTTTAAAAAATAATTTCATTGTTGCGCTTATCCGACTTTGTAAAAATCAAAAGACCAACATTTTTCATCTTCTTTCCTTCTCTGCTGCAGTACTCACACACCCAATCTGTCATCTCTTTTGCTTTTTTCTCCGAGATGCGAACGCACCGACCGTGGAACCACTTTCTGCACACATCGCAAGCAATATAAAACCTAAATGATTCAAAAATTTTTTATTTTCTTTAAGCATGTGCGCGACTCGCCTTCCTTCCCCTCCCCGTGCCTCTCTTCATCCCTCTTTCTCTCCTCCCCCTTCCCTCCCCCCGTCTTCTAATTCTTTTTATTACAACAGTGCGACAAATTTTCAGTCCAATTTAATTCAGCGCTTTAATCATACAATATGGACATGTCCTATGCGTGCTTAGTTTCTCAGTAGCAGTAAGCACTTGCACTAAAATAACATGTACCAGCGACAATTCATCTTGAAATTCAGACTGAGTTGAAAATATGAGTCAACCACGGCAGTAACTGTTGCCAAAAATAAGAGAATTTAAGCAAATTTTTGGCTGCAAGAAAGCATTTTAAAAACTCATGGCATTCCGACTGCTTGCAGTGGAGCACCACAACAACTTTAATCTCAGCGGTGAAAATTACCGGAAATTTAAAGAACCGCTGCAAAATGCAAGAAATCTTTACTTTTTCGGATTATACGGCTGATTACACTTGCAGTGCGTTTTCGTTGGGTCAATAGTTGGAATCGATCCCGAATCGGCAGTTTCTGGTTCTGCAGAAGTAGACGGTTCAACACCATGAGCAGCTGAACAAGGCTTCGTTCCAGCTTTCGTACTCTGTTTGGTTGTTGAAGGTGTTTCGCTACCACTGGACGTTCGTGATGTCGAGCTTCTCCTTTTTGGCGTGATGAAACTCTCGTCCCACTAAAATTTACTAATAAATACAAAAAACCAGCAACCTACTCGAAGCAACAAAAAGTGCGATAATACCGATTTCAATCTACAGAAACCAGCTGATCGTTAAAAGCCCTAACGCGGAGAGGAGAAAGAGAGTGTCCTTAGACTGCGTAACGCCACACTGCGAGGACAGAATTCCAGTGAAGTGAAGAGAATGAACGGTGTGGAAACTGCCGATAACAGCAAACTCAAGTAGTCAATAATATTCCAAGATACAGTCATCGACAGCTTTGTCAGCGGGTTGCTATCGGCAGTGAATATAACTGAACTATTTCTGAGAATGCAGAGGTACTTGACGTCTAAGTTTATGACCCAGGCTGAAACGCAATAAACAGCAACGCGCACCAGACTAGCCAGTGCGATCATGCGTTTTGTGCAATTTAGCCCATCGAACGATTGCCCATTAATGATTTTCACTACTTTGTGCTTTAGTCTATGCAAAAATAGTTCAAACATTGGAAAACAGTTAAAAATTTCACGCAACAGCGCATCAAAGCTGAATTCGAAACCTTGAAGGGTGAATATTTTTATCCCGACTTAATGGTTCACCAGCCAAAATTTTCACGAGGCCGCAGGTGCTACTCAAGAGCGCGGGAACGCTGAAATTGAATAGGCAAGGTTGAGCGTGGGCAGCGGTTCATTACCCGAAAATTTCAGCTCCCTAAAACCCGTGGCTCCCGACATATTAACTTGCCCGTAAAAAAACTTTCACGGGGCCGTACTTGTTACCCGCGGGTACGGGGAAGTTGAATTTAAATTTGCAGGGTCACACGTGAGTGGGGAACGTTCCCCTAAATTTTCAGCTTCCTAGCTTTTGCGATTCCCGAGTCGAAAGTTGCGGACAAGTTGCCGCGGACACACATACACACACAAACACACGCACAGATAACCCCGTGACAATATGCGTTTTGTACTGCTGTTACACAGCACAAAACGCATAACAAGCGGGCGGGCGCGATAATGCGTTTTTGCACTATTTCGTGTTACGACAAGATCGCAAGGAATAACAATAACTAGAATGTGTAAAATACTGGCCCTCGAAGTTCAGAAAGTGAACTGTGCAGCTATGTGGCATGTCAGTTAAAGATGTCGGCTTCAGTGACCAGACAAATGGAAAGTTGCTGGTGCGCAAGAAGGACCCCACTAGAACAGTTGAGTTTGAAATCTTTTAGCTGCACATGAGTAGGGAACATTCCTTTAAAATTTCAGCCTGCTAGCTTTTCTCGTTCCCGAGTCGGCAATTTTGCTGCGAAGTTATCACGTGTCGTATGTAAGTCCTGGGCAAGTCCTACAAGTCCAACTCAGCCGTGTCCGTATGTAAATCCTGGGCTGAGTTTGAAGTCGTTTGATTGTAAATGAGTATTGAACACCAAACTGAATTTTCAGTTTTCTAGCTTTTCACGTTCCCGACTTAGCAATTTCTCCGCCAAAATTTTCACGTGCTCGTACTTGAGCCCAGGGCGATCCTAAGCAGCTGGTTTCGAAATCTTTTAGGGATGCCTGGATAGGGAAAATTTCCCTTAAATTTTCAGCTTTCCAGCTTTCCTCGTTCCCAAGCTAGCAATATTCCCACCAAAACTCTCACCTGTCCCTACGTGGAACATAGACGTGCGTGACAATTGATACCACGCCCCTAGGTTAACACTTGGCCAGGGAGTACACTGGCAAAGCTTCAGTATCAAAGCATGCGTAGCTGACGAGTAAAAATACCCGGATGGACGAGCGCACAGACACACACAAACACACACACGTGCAAACACACACACGCATACACGCATTCACACGCATGCAGACACAAATACATAAACAGATGGAAACACAAACAGAGGATCGTTGCAATATGCGTGTTTCCTGCCTGTTGCAGCGCTCTAGCTGCAAGGCAAAAAACGCATTAAAAAAAACTAACAGTTTTCGTTTTCCTGCTTCTTTCACTGCGACGTCGCTGCTGTGAAGTGTCTTGCATCTGAAGCCCAGACGCTACTGAGGACGGCTGAACTGATGCACGCTGCACTGAAGGTGGTGTATTAGTAGACAGATTCGCTGTCCAGTCTGAGCGGCGAGCATCGTGAGCAGCTGGCAGACTGATGCTTGATGCTTTCACCTGTAAACGTAGCACATCTTCATTTCCTAGGAGAAGCAAAAGAATTTATCATACGCTTCGGTGCTAGTGTGTCGAGTCAACTGCAACAGCTAGTTGCTGGAAAAGATGCCCGCAACCGCACGGCTCTTCCCTCACCCGCAGCCCTCAATCCCACAGAAAACTCAGAAAAAAAATTACAATAAATAGCAACGCGCACCACAGTAGTCAGTGTGATCATGCGTTTTGTCTAATTAGTCCACCGAACGATTGCCTATTAGTGATTTTCACTGCTTTGCACTTTAGTTTGTGCAAAAATAGTTGAAACGTTGGAAAACAGTTACAAATTTCACGCACCGACATATGAAATCTCATGCACCGGCACTACCGCAAAACTGCAGCTTCTTGGCTTTTATGGTTCCTGAAATAATAATTTCTTCACTAAAATTTTTACGGGGCCGTAGCTGATACTCGACGGCGCAGGGACGCTGGATTTGAGTATGCAAGGGCAAGGTCATACGTGGACAGGAAGTCATTACCCTAAAATTTCAGCTGCGTAGATTTTCTGGTCCAGAGGTAATAGCTTACCCGCTAACACTTTCACGGGGCTGTAGCTAATACCCGGAGCGCGGTAACGCTGAATTTGAATTTGCAAGGTCATGCGTGGGCAGTAGGTCATTACCCTGAAATTTCGGCTTCGTAGATTTTGTGTTCCCGAGATAATAATTTACCCGCCAAAATTTTCACGGGGCCGTTCGTGTTACCCGCGAACAAGAAAAGACTGAATTTAAACTTTCTGGGTCGCCTGTAAGCAGGGGACATGCTCTCAAAGTTTCAGCCTTCTAGCTTCCATGGTTCCCGCGACAATAATTCTACCCGCCCAACTTTTACAAGGCCGTACGTGTTACCCGGATACGAGGAGTCTGAATTTAAATCAGCAGGATCGCACGGTGGCGGGGAACATTCCCCTAAATTTTCAGCTTCCTAGCTCTTGTGGTTCTCGAGTTGAAAGTTGCTGCGGACACACACACACACACACACACACACACACACACACACACAAGCGTACATACACACAAACACACACAGATAACCCCATGACAAAATACTGTTACACAGCACAAAACGCATAAAAATGCAAAGATCCTAGCCTTATCTTCGGCGAAATTACGATCAGTTGGTTCATTGCTTCGCGCAGTGCCAGCAGACGATATAAGACTCCGTCCCAGATGCATTCCAGCTGCAGGGCGCAGTTCAGGCTTTCTAGCTGTAGGATGCTGCTGAGGAATTCCAGCTGTAGACTGCACTTGAGGCACTCCAGTCGCAGACCGCACTTCAGGCATCCCAGTCACTGAGTGCGAATGAGCAGCTGCTGCAGCAGGCACTGTTGCTGGAGCTGCAAATACAAGTTTTTTCTTATTGAATTTCAGCTCGTAAAGTAAGCATCTACTAAGCGCTCCTACTCCATGCAGTGCACAGAATTCAGCAGGAGAAGGCCTCTTCCCGGGAGCAGACACAGTGCGGGCACTGACTCCACCTGCATATTACAACAACTTCAATGGTGCAATCAAATTTTTATTACAAAAAGACGGCTTGCAGTGCGTATTTCGATGATCCATTAAGCCTCACCCTTACCAAGCACGGTGCCAGGGGTGTGCAATGGCGCGGCCATCCCGGCCTCCGCCTTAGCTTTATCTTCTAATTTAATTCGCCTCTTAGTGACTTCTCTCGTGAATCGTTCAATGCGCTCACCCAACTGAGCTTCCAGCTGCCGTACTGCCAGCCGCTGGTTCCTCACTGTTCTGAAAATTCATTCGAAAGTTATTACTGCTCATTCGGTCGTCGAAAAACAACTGCAAACCTTCCGCAGTGAATCATGAAAACCAGCAAAACATATCACTGCGCACTCTGCCTGCCCTACGGATTCTCTCTTCGAAGCATTGTATACGGTACTACTTGTACCATACATATGAAATAATTCATGTCAATCCGCGCTAGATAAATGAAGTAATGCAAGCACAAGAAGGGAAAGGGACTGCAAATTAAAGCATCACAAACGAAGATTAAGCAAAGTGCTGCTATTTCCACGATAAAAATGCAGACAAACGTGCGAATTTGGAATTAGATAGTTACGTCCATTTTGGACAGACAGTAAATATGCGCCACAATCCTCAGCCAAAGACGAAAAAGAGCTACTAGCTGTCACAATTTTTGCAGCAATGCCAATAACCTCAAAAAGAGTCGAACCATGCTCCCTCTTC